CTCCCCCCACCCAAAGTTATCCCTAGTTGAGAACTACTTTTTAAAAAAATATATATGTTTTTATTGATTTTTTAGAGAGAGGAAAGGAGAGAGAGATAGAAACATTAGTCAACTGCCTCCTGCACCCTCCCCACTGGGGATGGAGCCTGAAACCAGCTTGGGAATCGAATCAGGACCTCTCAGTCCATGGGATGGGACACAGTTCAATCCACTGAGCCACACCGACTGGGTGAGAAATACCGTTTTGACTGGAGCACCAAGACATTACCAAAAAAACAATTCTTCCCCACTCCCCAAAAAACTTCACTAAAGAGAGTTCTGAAATGTACTTCCCCTAGAAATGAGAGGAGTTAAACTAAATCAGGTAGATAAGTCTAAATTCTTTTAGTAAGTTATAAAAGGTCAAGTGAGAATTACTGAGGAGTATTTCTTTGGAGAATGTTGCTGGTATACTGTGGTTGATTCTTTCCTCAGATGCCTGCCTGCCTCTTACCTCAAGCTGAGAGGGACCTAAAATGGAACTGCTTAGGTACTTGAGATGTGTCTCTTGCAGTTCGATGAGCACGGTGTTTACTCCTGCCAGGAAAATATAGAGGACAAGAGAAGGACTGGCAGCTGTTTTGACAGCAGAAGAATAGAAGCTCCACTGGGATTGGCCTATACTCCCAAGTCAGTTTGGGCAAGAAGTGCATGAGAGCTTCATGTGAACCATACAGAGCTGCCACTAGCCTAAACAGCACCATCAGAAATCTGTTCTCCTTTGTCCAGAAACTTCACTTCCATTTACTGAAAAATGATCAAACTAATTTAGTTGGGACAAAACACTTTACTGCCACCTCCTGGAAAACTGTCAAAATAAATATACACATCTACATTGATGATGTGAATAATACACTCCCAATGGTATGAAGTACACAACCTTGCCAGTGTGAGAGCTATCTTACTTAGACCCTATCTGACAGACCCTTACAGACAAAAACAGGTTTTAACATACAAGTAGTTGGAGGTGGTCCACCAGATTCCTAGGGGCTGAAAGAGGGAGTAAAGAACTGCCAAAATACAGTGATTTTGCTTAGATCAAGGGAGCTATGGATGGGAAACCATTACAGAATGGAGATGGTGGTAGTTTCTGAAATAACCAGAAAAGTATCCACTGGAAAAAAAGGCAACTTTAAATATCTACCAGGCCCAGAGTGTCAAAGCATCACATGGAAGTAAAAGTTAAGAACTTTCCTGTTTCGCCCGGCCAGTGTGGCTCAGTGGTTGAGCATCAGTCCATGCACCAAGAGGTCGCTGGTTCGATTCCCAGTCACGGTACATGCTTAGGATGTGGGACCAATCCTCAGTAGGGTGTGCATGCAGGAGGCGGCCAATCGATGTTCTTTCTCATCGATGTTTCTATCTCTCTCCTTCTCCCTTCCTCTCTCTCTAAAATTAATAAAGAAAAAAAAAAAAGAAAGAACTTTCCTGTTTCCCTTTATTTTCCTTTCTCTCCCTTCCTTTGGATCTGATTAATAAGCTAGAAGAGAGGTAGAAAAACCAGGCATGATGCTCCCCACAGCAAGTAGTGAGCTAGCTGTCCCTAGCTGGAGAAGAGGGAAAAGTTTCACTCTTTGTGACTAAATGACCAAAGGACTTTCTATTTTAAGAGGGATCACAGAACTCATGGAATCTTCCTGAATCAGGTGTATGACAGATGTTTTCCCACTCACAGGGTTAAAGGGATGGCAAAAAAGATAAAAAACAAAGATATTTTGTGTTGTGTTTTTTTTCTTTTCTTTCTTTCTTTTTTTAATCCTTACCCGAAGATATTTTTCCATTTATTTTCATACAGAGTGGGAGGGAGAGAGAGAGAGAGAGATAGAGAAACATTGATGTGAAAGAGATACATCAATTTCCTCCCGCACGACCCTGACCAGAACTGGGATCAAACCGCAACTGAGGGACATGCCCTTGGCTGGAATCAAACCCGTGACTCTTTGGTCCTTGGGCCGATGCTCTAACCACGGAGAAAACCGGCCAGGGCTTGTCTTGTTCTTAAAAGTTAAAAACAGTATGTTGAACATACAGGTTACCTATTATAAAGTAAGATCTGGAAGAGATCTCTTCCAAGGACATGTTCTTAAATTTTACAGAGAAAATGATTATTGATTCATTTGTTTTTTAAGACCCCATTTGTTGGAAGTAGGGCACATAAATGCAAGGGAGTCTTGTCCTCTCGGAGTTTACAGTCTTGAGTTTCATACTCACAATATAATACCTATTACAGTCAGTTATGTCAGCAACAGCCTATGTTGCATAGGTGGGGCAGGTTCAGGAGAAATTTTACTCTAACAATTTGCTCTGTTATGATTTTTACTAGATAGTGACTAAGCTTTAGAAGCAATCATTTTGCTCCTGTTCTTCAAGCAGGAAATCACAGGTAAAGCTTACCTTGAAGCTGTTTAAAGAAAGATGCAAAGCTGACTGCATAGGCTGCATCCTGATTGGGCTTTGATGAAACCAGGGTCTGTCTGGTCCTCAGTTTGGCAGGTTCAGGAACTTACATTTCACTTTACTCAAACTTAATCAGGCTCTGAGAGATTAATTTGGACAAAATAACTCTATAATTCAACCCAGTGAACAGAGGCTGATTTATAAACCATGATGTGAATTTATTAATTGAGAAAGACTGTATAGTTAGTATAACAAGAACCAGTCATGTGCCTTGAACAATTGTTTCTTCCTGGGTGTGCTGATTTACTCTGAGACCCCTTGAATGATGGGAAGGCTACTTGATGAGTATGGAATCACAGTAGGGCTTTGTATGTTCTTAAAGAATATTCCGAATTTAAGTTTGCTAGATATAAACCCAAAAAAGGCAGGAATCTTATTTGCTAATGTATCCCTAGAGACTAAAACATAGTAAACATTCAGTAAGTACTTGTTGACTGTGTGACTGAATCTGAATTAATTTTTTTTTTTTAAATACCATTTTTTACTTCTATTTTTTATCCTCACCCGAGGGCATTTTTGCATTTATCTTCAGATAGAGCGGGAGGGAGGGAGGAAGAGAGAGAGAGAAACATCGATGTGAGAGAGACACATCTAGTGGTTGCCACCCACATGACCCCAACCAGGGCCGGAGACAGACCACAAATGAGGTACATGCCCTTAGTGGGAACTGAACTCTGGACTCTCTGGTCTGCGGGCCAACGCTTTAACCACTGAGCCAAACTGGCCAGGGCTGAATTAAGTTTTTTTTTTTTTAATCCTCATCCGAGAACATTTTTTTTTCCATTTTTTGTACAGACAGAGTGGGAGGGAGAGAGAGAAAGAGAGAGAGAGGGAAACATCGATGTGAAAGGGACACATCGAGTGGCTGCCACCCACACGACCAACCAGGGCCGGCAACAAACTGCAACCGAGGTACACGCCCTTAGCGGGAACCGAACCCGGGCCTCTCCGGACCGCAGGCGGACACTCTAACCGCTGAGCCAAACCGGCCAGGGCTGAATTAAGTTTTTTAACAATCATTTTTATTTATCTCAGAGAGAGGAAGGGAGAGAGAGAAAAAAACATTGATGGATTGCCTTCTGTATGCCCCTCACTGGGGATCAAGCCCAAAACCCTGGCATGTGCCCTGACCAGGAATCAAACATGCCACTTCCTGGTGCACGGGACGATGCTCAACCAACCGAACCATACTGGCTGGGCAAGACACATACATTGTTTTTAGAATTCGGCTGGGCTGAATTAAGGTTTTTTTTTTAGCTATCATGATAATGGGTATTGGTCCTGGTTATTAGAATCAGTAACCTCTCTCCTGGACAGAGTGGGAGCTCACAATACATTCTTATTCAGATTCTGCTGGTTCTAGACTCTTTATGGACCCCACCCTTCTTTTATGACAGCATCAACTGGGCATGTGACACTTAGGTTACAGATAATTTATTTTACTCTTTGTGATGAAATTTAGGAGCCACTCTGACCTCTATAACACATTTACAGATCATCTCATAGGGTGACTTTTTTTTTAAAATCTTATCTCAAGTTCTATGAGGATTCTTGTTTTACATTTTCCAGGTTACTGACTTCCAGCTGAAACATGTAGGGAACAAGCGAATCGTGGTGGTTCATATTTTTACAGACACCCAGAATTCTTTGTGTAGGTGTGGATCTACCCACTGCCAGAGAGTCCAAAGGCAGAACACTGCGTTCTCCTCAATGGAACATTTAAAAGCCCTTAACAGACTAACACAAAACAGAGATTGGCTGAATATGTAAACCTCTGTGAGCTTGTGGGAGCTGCAGGGTCGATCTGGGTGGCTGTGCTATCAAGCACAGACTCCCCAGGGTCAGAGGGCTTCTTTTTTTCTCATTTCAGGTCTGCCTCTCAAACTCTGGTTTGGTATAGAAAGCTCCCCGTAAGCATGTTGCCTATCGACTTTCATATTCCCAGACTCTCTCGGCACCAGAGGCATATATGCTCTCTCGAGTCTAGGTCATGTCCTTGGGTGAAGAGGCAGGGTGGGGGGCGGGCATGGTCCCCGATCTAATCCCCATTCAGGGCTGCCTCGGGCTGCCTAGTGATGTTCTGTTAAGGTCTCGGTGCTCCTAACTTGGACAAGGGCACCCGTTTGTTCTGGCCTCCGCAGGGCGGCAAGACCCCCTCCGCAGAGACCAGGAGCGACCTCGGTCTTCCGGATTATCTGTCCTTTCTCTCTCCTCCATCCCCTCCCCAGACTGAAGACCAGATCCCCAGACACCGGCCTCAGGCCCACGCCCGGCTTCTCGCACCCTGATCCAGGGCCCAAATTCGGGAGAAGCATCGCGTTTCCCAAGCCCGCAAACTCCAAGCCGCCGGCAAGGGGCTGTGGGGTCCCCCCGCCCTCGCGGCGCGCTCGCCCCGCCCTCGCCCCGCCCCCGCCCTCGCCCCCGGGCTGCCCCGCCCCTCCCACGCGCGTCACGTCCGGCCCGGCCCCTGCCCGCCCTCCGCCCTCCGCCCTCCGCTCTCCGTTCTCCTCCCGCTCGCCGTTAGGGAGGCTCTGCGTCTTAGCCGCTGCATCCGTCGCCGCTCCTGCCTCCTCACCCGCGTCTCCGCCGCCGCCACCGCCGGGGACATCCGGGGGTCGCTTACCGGGCTGGCCCTGTGCCTCAGCCGCCGCTTCAAACTCCCGCCAGCGGCCGCCTTAGGAAGAGGCTCGCCGGCCGCGGAGCCGCTCGAGGCCTCAGTTCTCGTCCTCTTCCCGTCGCCGCGGGTCCTGGAGAAGCGGCCGGGGAACGGGGCGTCGCGGTTCCAACGGTAGGCGAACGGGCGGGTACGCGTATCTGCGCATGCGCTGGCCGCTGGCCCCTGGCCGCCGCGGCTTTCTCCCCTCTGCCGCCCACCAGCGCCATGTCCCACCCGCGCGGGGCTCAAGGGCGTTGCACGTCCGGGTGCTGGGGATCCTGGGCAGTACCCTGCAGGTGGGGCATTCGTAGAGAGGGCCCTCTTTCTCCTCGAGCGAGAGGAAATGAAGCCGTGCCGCTGGCTCTGTGTGTGTGTGTGTGTGTGTGTGTGTGTATGTGTGTGTGTCTTCGATTTTTCAGCCACTGCAGTGCGCGTGAGCGTGTGTGCCTTCTCATCTCCTGGCTCCTCCAAAGTAGAAGGCACAGCAACCCACGCTTGTTTGCTAGCCTCCCCTGCATACCCGCCCTGCGCCATCTCCCTGCCCACTTCCTTTATGCTGGGCAGTGAAGTGGATGCAGAAAAAATAGTGTGGTTTATTACAGGCTTAACTGTGCCCCTTTTAAAGATCACGTGAGATGAGTGGTTGCTGACTTCCTTAAATCAGTCAGAGAATATAGCTGAAATGGGGCTGTTGGTGCTCTGGGGGCTTGTCTAGAATGCACTCTGCATAGGTCAGGCCAGAGGGTACAGCATTAAGTTTCAGATGGGGCACCTGGTTTCCAAGATAAGGTTATAGGAAATTGAATCGGTTGACACACTTGCCCAGTGGGAAATTGATAAACTATTTTTGTTTGTAATCAATTAAAAATCAAGTTGATTTTTAGAAAGACAGTTGCAGAATTTTATTCGCTTTCCCAGTATGCTAATTAATGAAAAAAGTTACTTAAGTATGGCATATTTACCTTACTTTCTAGATTCTTATAATCTAGAAATGGCCACTAGAACCACAGTATTGCTGAATGTGGACATTAAATAACTGGGATTCACTTACTTTTTAAAAGGCAGACGTTAAAGGATAGTATAGAATTAGTGACTTTTGGGTTAATGTGCAGCTACTTTTGTCCTCAACTTTCCTTTTTGTAATCTTGCATTCTTGTTGGTCTGGGTTTCTCACAGGTACTATTAATTTAGTAACTACTTGTTGAATGGAATTGAATGAACGGGTCATTATTTGTATAGCCATCGGATCTCCTTACTTTCTTAATCTGTGCTGCTTTTATTTATTTAAAATATTTTTATTAGCAAGAGGGAAAAGAAAAATAAAATATTTTTATTGATTTTTAGAGAGAGAGGAAGGAAGAGGGAGAGAGGAAAACATCAATGTGTGATTGAAACATCAATCAGCTGCCTCCTGCATGCTCTCTACAGGGAATCAAGCTTGCAGCCTGGGTATGTGCCCTGACCAGGAATCCAACAGCAACCTCTCTGTGCACTGGAGGATGCTCTACTAATTGGCCAGGGCAATCTGTGCTGCTTTTAAAACTGCGACAGAGCCCTGCCGGGGTAGCTCAGTTGACTAGAGCGAGTTTCTGATGATACTCTTAAGGTTTCCATTGGATCCCCTTGCAGGTTGGATCACATATAAGAATCAACCAATGAATGCATATGTAAGCTTAACAACAAATCAGTGTCTCTCACTCTCTTTCTCTCAAATCAACAAATAAAATTAACCAAAAAAAAAAACCAAAAAAACCAAAAACAAAAGACAACTGGAGCAGTTATTTTCTCCATTTTAATCGCATCACCAATTTGGAATATGTGACAAATTCTTGGAAAGAGGTAGAAAAGCATATCACAGTGTCATAAAATTCTTCATTGGGTGAAGTAAATTTATTTTTATTAGAATGCCATTGTCTCCTGGCCAGTGTGGGTCAGTGGTCGAGTATTGGCTCATGCACCAGGAGGTAACTGGTTTGATTCCCAGTCAGGGTACATGCCCAGGTTGTGGCCCAGTCCCCAGTGGGAGGTATGCAGGAGGCGGCCAGTCGATGTTCTCTCTCATCGATGTTTCTCTCTCTCTCTCACTCTCCCTTCCTCTCTAAAATCAATAAAGAAAAAAAATTTTTTTTAAAATGCCATTGTTTTAGGGTAAAGAATATCAGAAATATTTTTCTCCATCAATACAATGACTACTTTTATTATTATTTATGAATAATCTGTCTTCATGGCTTCCCCCTTCATTGTAAACTAGCTTTAGTATTGGGGAAATAATAAAATAAATTGCTGTACTATACTTTTAAAAAACTGTACTGTACATAAAATTTACCATTTTAATAATTTTTAAGTGTGCAACTCAATGGCATAAAGTACAATCACATTGTTTTGCACCCATATCACTGTCCACTTCCAGAACTTTTTCATTATCACAAACAGAAACTCTGTAGACATTAATTCCCGATTCCCTCTTCCCCTCAGCCCCTGGCAGCCTCTGTTCTACTTTCTGTCTCTATAATTTTGCCTGTTCTGGGAACCTTTTATAAGTGGAATCATACAACATTTGTCCTTTTGTGTCTGGCTTATTTCATTTACCATGTTTTTAAGGTTCATCCATGTTATAGTGTGTATCAGAATTTCCTTCTTTTTTAAGGCTGAATAATATAAGCTTACCCATTTATCTGTTTATGGATGTTTGGATTGTTACTGGCTTTTGTGAAGGCAAAAGTAGTGCTGTTGTGAACTTTAGTGTATAAGTATCTGTTTGAGTCCCTACTTATGATTCTTTTGGGTATATACCTAGGAGTACAGTTGACTCTTGAACAACATGGGTTTGAATTACACAGGTCCACTTTTATGTAGATTTTTTTTTCCTGCAACTGTAAATGTATTTTCTCTGCCTTAAGATTTTTTAAACATTTTCTTTTCTCTAGCTTGCTTTAGTGTAAGAATACAGTATATAATACATATAAACTATATTCTAATCGACTGTGTTATTGGTAAAACTTCAGGTTAACAGTAGGCTATTAGTAATTACATCTTGGGGAAGTCAAAAGCTGTATGTGGATTTTCAAGTGCATGGGTGTTGGCACCTCTAACCATTGTGTTGTTCAAGGTCAACTTTATCTACCTTGGGTTTATTCTGGATCATACTGTAATTTTATGTTTAACATTTGAGGAGCATCCAAACTATTTTCTAGGCATGTTACATCTTTTGTTTTTTTTTTTTATCCTCACCAGAGGACATTTTTCCATTTTTTGTTCAGATAGAGTGGGAGGGAGGGAGAGAGAGAAACATCGACGTGAAAGGGACACATCAAGTGGCTGCCACCCGCACGACCAACCAGGGCCGGGGACAAACTGCAACCTAGGTACGCGCCCTTAGCGGGAACCGAACCCGGGTCTCTCTGGACCGCAGGCCGACGCTCTAACTGCTGAACCAAACCGGTCAGGGCAAGCGTGCTACATCTTTTACATTTCCATTTAGCAGTGCACATGGGTTCCAATTTCTCCACATCTTCTCTTCCTCCCCAACAGTTTTTACTTTCCTTTTTTGTTTGTTTGTTGTACTTATTTGATAATAACCATCATAATGGGGGTGAACTGGTATCATTGTGGTTTTGATTTGCATGGCCCTAGAGATAGTGATGTTCAACATATTTTAATTCGTATCTTCTTTGGAGAAATGTCTTTTCAAGCCATTTGCTCATTTTTGAATTGGTTTTTGTTTGTTGTTTAAAAAACGATTATTTAGCCCTGGCCGGTGTGGCTCAGTTGAGTGTCCTAGCCCTGTGCACTGAAAGGTCGCCAGTTCGATTCCTGGTCAGGTCACATACCCAGGTTTTTGGTTTGTTCCACATCAGCGGGTGTTCTGGAGTCAGCTGATCCATGTTTCTTTCTCACATCAGTGTTTTTCTCTCTCTCCCTCTCCCTTTCTCTCTCTCTCAAATTAATAAAAACATTTTAAAAGGAGATTATTTAAAAATAACTTTTAAAAGTTATTTTGTACATGTGTTAAATCTTTTATCTGAAAACCTCTGGTTATTTTTTTTTCTTTATTGATGTTTTTTTAGAGAGAGAGGGAGAGAGAGATAGAAACATCAATGAGAACATCGATTGTCTGCCTCCTGCATGCCCCCCACTGGGGATTTGGCCCACAACCTCTGCATGTGCACTGACCAGGAATTGAACTGGTGACCTCTTGGTGCATAGGTTGACGCTCAACCACTGAGCCACACACACCAGCTGGGCCTTCTGGTTTTTATAAACATGTCTTTATTGATTTTTAGAGAGAGGGGACAGAGAAGGAGAGAGAGAGAGAGAGCGCGCGCGCGCAACATCTATTGGCTGCCTCCTGCACACCCCCTACTGGGTTTTAAGCCTGAAACCCAGGCAGGTGCCCTGACTGGGAGTTGAACCAGTGTTCTCTTGGTGCATGGGTCAACACTTAACCACTGAGCCACACCAGGCAGGGCTGAAAATCTTCTGGTTCTTAAAATGAATGAAATACCTGTACTGACATTTTAACAATAGAAACAAAATTTATATTTGATAGATGGATAAACAGCAAAGGGATTGATTTTTTTTTTATTTATTTTATTTTATTTTTATTTTTTATCCTCACCCGAGGATATTTTTCCACTTTTTGTACAGATAGAGTGGGAGGGACAGAGAGGAAGGGAGAGAGAGAGAGAAACATCGACGTGAAGGGACACATCGAGTGGCTGCCACCCGCACGACCAACCAGGGCCGGGGACAAACTGCAACCGAAGTACGTGCCCTTAGCGGGAACCGAACCCGGGTCTCTCCGGACCGCAGGCCGACGCTCTAACCGCTGAGCCAAACCGGCCAGGGCGGGATTGATTTTTTTATTCTTACCCGGAGGACATTTTTCCATTTTTTGTTCAGATAGAGTGAGAGGGAAAGAGAGGAAGAGAGAGAGAAACATTGATATGAAAGGTACACATCGAGTGGCTGCCTCCCACACAACCCAACCAGGGCCAGGACTGCAATTGAGGTATGTGCCCTTAGCGGAAACCGAACCCGGGTCTCTCTGGACCCCAGGCTGACGCTCTAACCACTGAGCAAAACCGACCAGGGCAGCAGTCTTTGTTTTTTTAAGTTTCTGTGGGGATTTT